GACATTAATCAAGGTAATTTAATCTTTTCCATCACCCTACATAGAAAGCCCCAGCTCACTTGATCATAAGTTTTCTCTAAGTCAATCTTTAATACCATATACCTTTTACCACCTCCTAACTTGCCCATAAAGTGAGCCACCTCCTTGGCTACAACAATGCTTTCTTATAGACATCGTCCAGGTACAAAGCTTGTTTGAAAGGTTGACACAAACTTTGGCATTAGATGCTTAAGCCGCTATACAATCACCTTGGACACAGCTTTGTATATCACATTGCACAAAGAAATTGGTCTTAGATTGTTTGCAGTGTCTACTCTTTTGATCTTTGAAATAAGAACAATAAGAGTTTCATTAAGTTCTCTCAACTTCTTTGGCTTCTTCCATACACCTTGCACAAGCTTAGAAATACTATTCCTAATAACATCTCGGTTTCGATGATAAAATATAGCAGGAAAGCTGTCTGGACCCAGAGCTTTAAACGCTCCTATGTTAAGGATTGCCCTCTTAATCTTCTCTAGACACCTCCTTATCCAACTTCCTCAGCTCATTTTTAGAGAGAGGAGTCCAAGAATGATTAGTGACAACCCATGATCTTGTTGTACAATCTTCAATAAACAAATCTGCATAGTGATTCTTAACAAGGTTGATGAATTCCTCTTCTCCTCTACCCAATTTTCTTCAGACTCTAGGCTACATTATAAAAACCTTGTCGAGCCTCTTGAATACCCTGTCTCACCCACCCTTGCCACTTTGGACCCCTCCAAGCATATAGAGGTCCCTACATGTCAATATCAACCAACTCACACCTCTGAATCCAATTTCTAAAATTATCACATCTGAGTAAATTAGGCTCAGCCCCTCCTTTCTACTCCAACAGGGGAAGCGATTTCGTTAAAGTCCCCTCCCAACAACCACGCTTTTGAGATCCCCTTAGCCAGCCAACTTAACTCATTCTATAACAAATCACGATTACTGCCCTGTGGGTTAGCATATACCACAATGCATAACCATCAGTCTAAACCATCACATAGTCTCATATGCAAATATTGCTCAGTTTTCTTCAGAACTTCTGCTTTCCAATTCTCGTCTTTCCAACACAGCCACAAACCTCCCGAGAAACCATTCGCTTTACTTGAACAGTGAATTTAAAGCCAAGTCCTTTAACAATCTTCTCAGCTTGACTTCTACTGATCTTAGGTTCTAACAAAGCTGTAAACACAAGCCACTTCAACCTTAACATATTTTTACACGCTAGAGTGAACTACTTGCTTGCAGCTCCTCTACAATTCCAAAAGACTATTCACATTATCAACTAATAGGGGGACAAGCCAATTTCTCTCCCCTATCACTGCTATCATCCGTTCTCATCACCACATCTTCTCTATCGTACTCCTTCACATCTTTAGGGCTGCCCCTTCCTCTACTTGCATTCCCCTTTCCCTCAAGGTCATACTGGTTGACCAGTGTTTTACAACCACATCTTCCCCTTGACTGAACAATGTGTTCCTCAGGGCATAAATCAGTATTACCACCCTCCATCATTAATTCCTCCTTAGGTAAAACCTACATACTTCTTTAACTTGTCTCTACAACCTCGAATCTCTTTTTTGCTGTGAAGTATTCCTTATTACGATTACTCTTCTCAGCAACCCCGTTCCCCTCCTTTTGAGACTTTTTTTTGAAACTCTTGGTGTATCCACTCGACTACTCCTACCATTGGTGATATCATTCACATTATCAACTAATAGGGGACAAGCCAATTCTCTCCCCTATCACTGCTATCATCCGTTCTCATCACCACATCTTCTCTATCGTACTCCTTCACATCTTCAGGGTTGCCCCTTCCTCTACTTGCATTCCCCTTTCCCTCAAGGTCATACTGGTTGACCAGTGTTTTACAACCACATCTTCCCCTTGACTGAAACAATGTGTCCTCAGGGCATAAATCAGTATTACCACCCTCCATCATTAATTCCTCCTTAGGTAAAACCTACATACTTCTTTAACTTGTCTCTACAACCTCGAATCTCTTTTTTGCTGTGAAGTATTCCTTATTACGATTACTCTTCTCAGCAACCCGTTCCCCTCCTTTTGAGACTTTTTTTTGAAACTCTTGGTGTATCCACTCGACTACTCCTACCATTGGTGATATCATTCAGTAGCCATCTACCTCTCCCTTGATTATTAGTAAAATTTCTTGCTGTAACATCACTGCCATTCTCCTGTGGCCCTTTAGCAAATCCTTCATTTTCATCCTCTATACCCCTCCCTCAAGAAATCAAATCTTGATGGAAGCACCATTGATTCAGGGACAAATCTAGTTCTTCGACCTCTCCTCACCCTTGTACAACTCTCCACAGGTCTTTTCTTTCACTAGTTAGAACCTCCGCACTCCCCTCCTTCAATTAAGCACCTACCTTTGTCCCGCTGTATGCTTTTCTCCTTCCATCCCCTTCTTTCATGCTTCATTTACATGCCCATATATACCACAATTCAAGCACAGCAGCCCCATGCTCTCATATTTAATCGAATACAAAACACCATTTACTGCATAATAGGGCAGCAAAGGTTTTATCAAATCAACTTCCACACCTACCGTAGCAAATGTAACATCCTGAGTTTATCGGGTTTAATAACCTCTTTCTGGGTTCGCCGCGACAAAAGGTACCGAATCTATATAGTCGCTGGAGGGGTTAGATGTGCGAAAATTAGAAAATCTGAAGGAGGAGAGAGAAGCTCTGCTAGGTTTCGGTGTTTGCTTGGGAAAGGCATTTCTAAGGATCCATTACCTCAAGTAAGTGATTTTAACCTCTAATCTACCTTCTTTCTTGGAATTTCTGAGGATTCATAGTGAAACCCTAGAGTTTTCTAGGTTGTTATGGAATTGAGGTTTTTGACCGATTGTTTTGAGTTTAATTGATTTCTTTAGGTTAGTCTAAGTATTTAATCGGTGTAGTTTTCTTGGATTTAAAGAACCTTGAGTTTTTGAAGCTAGGGTTTATGGAAATGGGAGGTTTGTGATTGAGGATGATAATGTAGAGGTTTGATTTTGAGTTTTGTGATTTAGGTTATGTTAGGAGGGTTAAATTGGATGTTTAATCGGTTTAGAATGTTGTTAAGACTTCAATTGTTCAAATGGGGTGATTGGGTGTTAAATTCTTATAGTGGGTCCTTGAGGTTTGAATCCTAAATTGATATTTGGAAAGGAATTAGGTTTTATGGATTTTATGACCTTGGAGTGTTGCCTTGGTGGTTATACCCTTTTGAGTTGGGTAGAGTTTGGTTTGAGTCAGGAATTTTGTGTCCCCCAATTGTTGTTTTGGCCACATTATTAGTTGAAAGCTAATACATGGTGGTTGTGTGTTTGTGTGCTTGTGTAGACCGGTTGTGAGCCTTGTTGGTGCATGGGGCCGTGTTATTGGTTTGTTTTTCCTTGCTCAGGTGAGAGGTAACCACTTTTCAATCCTTTGTACATACTTTTGTGGTATTGTGAGTTAATTTATGTTTTGTGCTCTGAGTAACAATTGTGTTCAAAGTGTATGTTGTATATTAAAAAGGAAAATCGTCTTGTGGGGTTTCAATTGATATTGAATGAATTTGGAACTTGTGAAAGATAGGCCACTGAAAGAAGTTAATTGTGAAGTGATTATTTACTCTTTGATTACGGATTGAGCATGATGCATGAATTGGGAATTGGTGAGAGTTTTAATTGTTACTACCACGTGGTAAGACCTCCATTAATACATGATGGTTGGCTCTTTACGTCCCCCATAGTGAGGGATAGGCCTTTTGGCTCCTTACGTCCCCCATAGTGAGGGATAGGTTCAGCTCTTGAAAATCCCCCAAAGTGAGGGATATAGTTGATGGGATTGCATCATTGCACTTGCATTACTTGTTGTGGCTATCCTTTATCATATTATTTGTGAACTGCCCCACCTGACACCTCACGAGCACCTATTTTGTAGTACCTTGAATTGGAAAGATTGGTTACTGGGACATTGTCTCACCCCGTGGTTTACAATGTTTTCAGGTGAAGGTTCTGGGCGTGTGCCATCGGGAAGAGACGCAGAAGCTTGAGCTTGGTTAGCTTTAGGCCTCTAGCCCTTGTATATGTATGGCTAGTATATATTGCCACATTTAGGATCCTTTTTGAAATATTTTGATTACCCAGCCTTGTCGTAAATTGGAGAGAATGTTATCTCCTTATTTTGGTTGGCTGGAGGCCATTTCTAGTGTCTTAGGAAACTCTGATTTTATTTTGCTGGAAACTATTTGGATGGGCTGATGTGATGTCTGTTGTTACCCGGGCCGGAGGCTCGGAAGCCCAATGAATGTTAATGAATGATTTCTAGTTGCATGCAACAGAGTGTAGGTTTGACTCGAGTTTGAATGTTAATTTCTAAAATATACAAAGTTCTTTCTACTATGGTAGTTCCTTTTAACAGCTTTCCTTTTCTACCATAGTAGTGATTTTATGACGAGTTTATAATGTTTTGGGGTAAAAGGTTTTACAGCAAACCTCCCCTTCTTTCTTCTAGCCATCGGCGTATCCACTTTCTAAATACGCCCAATTTGACTACATACAGTATACGTGATTTTTTTTTTATCATAAAGGTCCATTGAAATAATAGGCAAACGAATCCATGCGGCTATTTTATCAATTACTTCAGTCATGGGATTAAAACCAGGTGTCCACCTCGTAGCCACTAAGTAGGAGTCCATTATGACCCTCTGTACTCTAAAAATCTACCAAAAAATAATCCATGTCTATGAGTCCTTTTAGAACAGCTTATCTTATAAGTTATTTTTTAATAATAATTTATAGAATATGAAACAATTACGTGAGAATAATTTTAACTTAATTTAAGAAAAATGTATTTATAGGGATTTTTAGCCTCTGTTAACTACTTCAACCTTACCTTTTTTCCTCCAAATCTGCACAATACGGGACCCAGACTTCTCAGAGACACCGATTTGCCCAGCAATTTCACGGTTAGTGTAGCCTTGAACCGCATCGACAGCCTCCTCTGCTCTTCGTCATCAAGCAAGATATTCGGGCACATCGGATCCGATCTATCAATTTGAATTCCTTTCTTCAAATCGCCCAAGGAGTCAAACCCCGTGTCCACCTCTTCGAAGTCGCTCAAGCACCATCCTGCATTATTCGGCCTCTTCTGCAGCAGCAACTTGCGGTAAGTCTTCGTCCTCGCCTCCTCTTCCCCTTCAGAAATCGGTCTCTCCATCCAATCCTCAGCCCTCGGTTTCAAGGAGACCTCCCCCGTGAACTCGCCGCCTTCTTTCCGGACCTTTCTCTTGCTCCGAGCAAGAGCATCAGCTTCCTTCACCGTCAGTTCCTCCCTGCCGCTCACCTCCGATGCCCTCGAGTGCGAGAGCATTTTTCCTCTTCTAGCTGAAGGCAACTTTTTGAGTATTGACTCTTTTAAATAAAGATTGAGATTACCTTTTTTCAATGCTATGTAATCCGCTATTATACTTCTGCCGTCTTCGCTTTGATTAGTTGGATTTTGTTGTGTATTGGCATTTTGTTTATTAATCTCTTTATATTATCATCTATTTAGAAAATTCTCAAGGTACTTGAGATGCATGATCTGGTAAATGGCTTGGCTGGAGTTGCATCTAAAAATTTAAAAACTCGAGTTTATATTGTCATTCTTCAGTGGCTTGGAGGAGTTTCCTGAATCAATTGGCTTTCTAAGTCTTCTTCGTCAAAGTATCTGGTCCCACTGAGTGTAACATAGGTCTGTTTATGCCCACCGGTGCAAGTCCCTGCAACACATCTCAAACAAGGTAAGAATGTTATGCTCTTGCTCGTGGAATGTAATTGTAATGAAAAGGCTTGGTCTACGTCTGAGCGGATGAAATTTCATATTCTTGCACTAGCTGAGGATGGAATTTGTTTATGTTTGAGATGAAGCTGTGGTTTTGTCTCCGTTGTAGTCTGCGTTGGCTAAAATCGAAAATTGGTTGCTTTTTGTAGGTGCATGACCATGAGAAGAACAATGGATAGATTTAAACCAGTAGAAAGCTTTTGGTGTATGTGAGTGAGCTCATAAAAAGAGCGTTTATTAAATAGGAAGAAAAAAGAGACGCAGTTTCAAATAGTTGATTGATTCATTAGTATATTTTTAATTAGAAAAATCCACATTTAGACAAACTCTATTTTATTTGGTTTGGATTTTGGAAAGCGAAGTCATGTAACTCGGAATTTTACACTCTGCAGATGTTTTTGGGTTCTGCGAAATTTTTGGTACCTTCTCTTACTGATAAACCATGTAGGCTGCTAAGTTTTGAGTGTTTAAACTTGTATATTTGACTTTTGATGTCATTGAGTTTTGGAAGTTGAACCAAATTTTGATTCCATTCTTAGTCTCTTTTCAAATATCTAAAAAAAAAAAAAAATCTCTTCCATGCCTATTCTTTTCCATGGCTTACCAAACATTCTGAGTTACAATGTTACATCACGTTATTCTATTTTTTTCTCCTTGACTTTCCTTTCCATTAGATTCCTCTCTCACAACCTAACAGGCCCTAATGGCTGCAGAGCATCCTAGAAGCATTTGTGAGCTCGCTTTTGCGTTGGAGGTACGTTACATCTGTATCCAATCTGTTTCTGAATCCCATTAAATATCCAAAATTTACCTGAATAGTTGTAATATTTTGAAGAAAATAAGCAGATATTAGCTAGGTTTTGCTGAATTCAAGCTGGTTAGTGCTTTAGAAGAGACTTCACTTGTTGTGCTAGTGCTGCATTGTTTATCATCGTCATTATGCAAAAATGGATGAGAGTATTGGTTTCTGGATTCTATGCCCTTTTACTATTGCGACAATCATATTTCAGACTCGCACTATGCAGGGAAAAAACCTGCATATATGGTATTCTCTCCTCAGGCTCAGAGTTAGTAGAGAAAGGATAATTTCCTTAAGTTAGAGTGTTGCAAAAATGGGGTGGCATCCATCTGTCCTGTCTATTTCACAAAGTAGATTCAATTTTGTTTTTCTTTTGTTTTTTCCCCTGTTTTCTGTCATCAGCTAAGTTTATTTGGGTTCAATGATTTTTGTGGCAGTCATTATTTTTCATTCAGAAAAGACAGCCAATTGCCTATGTTAAGTAGTGGCAAATTTCGTGGCATCTTTGTTGCTGTACAAGCCAATTCTCCACCATCATTAATCCCATATGCTGCATTGAGAATTTGTCATTATGAGACAGAAGGGGGTCAAAATGCTGTCGATAAAAATTTGAAATTGTCACGAACCATCATGCAAAGCAGAGTTGGAATTTTTTGGGATTTAGACAACAAACCACCCAGATCATTGTCACCTTATGAAGCTGCCGCTAAGCTGAAAGCAGCTGCATCTCACTTTGGTGTTGTTAAGCATATGGTGGCTTATGCAAATCGTCATACTTTTAGCCATGTCCCTCAAAATGTTAGGGAACAAAGAAAAGAAAGGAAATTGTTAAATCATTTGGAGAACAAAGGTGTAATCAAGCCGGCTGAACCTTATCTTTGTCGGGTCTGTGGGAGAAAATTTTATACAAATGAGAAGCTTATTAATCATTTTAAGCAAATTCATGAACGTGAACACACAAAAAGATTGAACACAATAGAGTCAGCAAAGGGGAACAGGAGGGTGAAGTTGGTTGCTAGGTATTCAATGAAAATGGAGAAGTATAAGAGTGCGGCAAGGAGCATTTTGACTCCCAAAATGGGTTATGGTTTGGCAGATGAGATAAAACATGCAGGGTTTTGGGTTCGGACTGTGTTGGATAAGCCACAAGCTGCAGATATTGCATTGAAAGGCCATATGATAGATATGATGGATAATAAGAAGTTTGAGTGTGTGGTTCTTGTTTCAGATGATTCTGATTTTGTTGACGTATTAAAAGAGGCAAAGTTACGATGTCTCAAGACAGTTGTCGTTGGGGATACTAATGATGGGACCTTGAAGAGGACCGCTGATGCTGCCTTTTCTTGGGAGGAAATCCTGATGGGGAAGGCAAAGAAGGAGGCTGTATCAGTTGTTGAAAAGTGGAAGGATCGTGATATTTTGAAAAGATTAGAGTGGACATACAATCCAGAGGTGGAGAAAAATAAATACTGTCCGGATAGTATGGTTACTGAGGCTACTGAGGATGAAGATGCTGGTGAGACCTGTGATGAAGCTGATGGTGCCTATATCAATAAGGAAGACTCAAATGCTTGGTGGGAATTGGATACTGATGATGATTTCATAAATAAGCAATCAGGAAAATAATGATTACTGCATATTCTCTGATATATGACTGACTGGTCGGATCTCATGTAAGTTTCTTAACTCGCCAAAATTTTGAGGGAAGGAAAGGTAATACTTCCTTTCTTGCTTTCTGGAAAACAGACGAGTAATGTTGCTCAGGTCATCAAATTTGTGAGGTAACATTATAGCTCTCAGGAAGTGATAGATATGGCTGTGGTGCGTTGCTCTTTCCTTTGTAAATGAAATTAGAAATTACTTGATTATCTATGTTGCTATCCGCTCTTATTTATTCTCTCTTTAGTTTACCTTCTCATGAACACCTGTTCAGAGGAACTGAGGAAGCAACGATTTTGTAGGGTAGTATTGGAATGATTTGTCATACCGCTATCCCATCTTTCTGATCACATTGTATTTTGATTTGACCTTTTCTAAGTTGGTAGATTATAGGCCCACCCTTTGCATAGGGTCTTAGGCGAGTTACATTATTTATGGCGTGATAATGCAGACATACTTTTGATGGACATTATGTCATGACCGAAATTTTCAAAGACTAATTTTGTTTGTCCGTTCCCCCCCCCCCCGGGGGTAATTTTTAAAGATCTAGAAACTAAATAATAGAAGCATACCATGTTTGGTCCTATGTAAGTTGCTTGCATCTTATTCTCAGATACTAATAAATGCATTAAAGTGATAAATTCTTTTTACATTTGCCCTTATTCAAGAAAGTTTATTGGAAAAAAAATGTTTTGCATTTTCTCACACCTATTTGGTTTATTGTATTTAAAAAAGGTAAAATTGGAAAAAGAAAAAAAAAAGAAGAGAGTTTTTAACTGCACTATAAGTGGCATGAATTTACAGCCTCCCCCCCCCTCCCCGCAAGTGACATAGGGGGACAAGCGACTCTGAATCGCAAAATTATTAATTTCCGTGCAACAAGGAAAAGAAAAATAGAATGAATATAAATGCTTTAATCCAGCTTATGAAAGCTTTGGAATGGATCAAAGTTGCAGGACTTTGAAAGCCTACACAACAAGCATTAGTTGTCCAAGCAAAGGTAAAGAAGCGAAGAGGCAAATGCTATGGATTATTTAGAAGGAGATTTATAAGCTAGAACTCTTGTGGCAGGTGTTTAGAACTAGTGGCACCTGTTTTAAGTCACTCTCTGTTTATCAGTTCCTTTCAGTTCTATTTATAAGTTTTAAATTTGGAGAAGGGTATGGTTTTTCATATGAGTTTTGTTTTGGATTTGTCTAATCATTTAATACATTTTTTTTCTAGTTTAGCCCTTAATTTATTCTCTCATTTGCCACTCTCTCTCAATATATTTTCCTATACATTTTCTTATATTTTTTTCTCATTTTTTATAGGGGCATATTTAAAAATAAAAATACATTTTTAACCTATTTACTACTTTTAACTAACTTTTAGTTAAATATAAATTAATTCTTTGAAGCTTATAATAAAAACAATAGGAAGTAGCTATCTATGGGGCCTAGGAATGTAAATTTATTTTTTGAAAATTATTATTTTAATGGGTATAGAATTAAAAATAGAAATAATCTTTTAACTATATATTTTTTCAACAAATAGCCTTTTATTTTTAAATAATTAATTAAAACTATTAGATTTGAACTGTTCAGATTTAATTTGGATGGTCTAGATTGTTCATCAAGTGATGAGCACCCAAATCGGATCCACCTAACATGTCCGCGCCTGCTTTCTTTGTAGTATGGCTGGTTGGAATAAAATTTGTACAATGAAAGTGCTTATGCGTGGAAAGTTTCTAATCAAATTATTTAAAGTTGTCTTTGTAACCAAATTAAAAAATTATGCTATTGGAGATATTTTTGCTGTTGTCCTGTATGGGTTAGATTCTTTTTCCTTTTTTTTTCCTTTTATTTTAATCGAGAAAAAAGTTGGGATTCCTGCTTATGCAGGTTATGTATTTCTAATCAATTATTTTGGAAACACGAAAAAAATAATAAGTCATATTTAATTAAGTGTCATAGTTTGTCTATTCCATTACATATCCGCAAAGCAGAGCTTGAAAAATTATCATACAGGAAGTGATACATTTCTTGGCTACAATCAATGGTTTCCTTTGTTTTCCATAAAAGACCGAATATGCATTAAAAGGATGGAATTTCAATTATTCATTTACTAATTATTATAATTATAATTTGAGTGTCTCTGAGATGTTGTCCCAGGTCTATATATTGTCAATTTATTAATGAATTTTAAATATATAAATTAGTGTACGAGAATATTATATCCTAGGACTAAACTTAGGTCAAGTTAGTTAGGTCCATTATATCCAGGAGTCCAATGAGCTTTTGCCACGTGTATTAGCTTTTACTTAAACCTCAAACCCATTGTTAAAACCCCGTTAATTCCTTTCTTCTTCTATTCCATTTTTCTTCAACGATCCAATCTCAACTTCTTCATATTCAATCTTCATCATCTTCACTATTCCTCAATGTATCAGCAACCAACAATAATATTCCCTAATTCAATTCACTCCTACTCGTCTCCTGCAAATTCCCCACGAAATTGACCTGAATTTCCAATCTTCTTGTACCGATATTCCAACATAGGCACATTCACGCTGTGTCCGTAAAGCTTTCTGGAACTAAGAATTCTCTTTTTGATTCAGTAAATTACTAGACGAAGAAGATAATCAAAGATGTATGTCGTTATGACGGTATTGTATCTGCATAGAGAAGCCGGAGTGGAAGAATCATCGTCACTGGTGGTGGCAGCAAGTCAGCTACTCCGATGGCGATAAGAGAAGGTGGAGAAAGAGGATCGATGATGGAGCACAATTGAGGGCAGTAGAAAGCTGTAGATTTGTTGAGAATAGTCTTGAAGAATAACATCAATAGGTGTCTATGAATTATATGGGATCTTGGGAGCAGAAGAATACGTATCTGAAAACAATCATCAGCTTTTAGCAAAAACTCTTCCAAAACTAACAGTGGTTTGATAGTGAATTAGGGGTTAAATGAAAATTAGTACAGGTGGCAGAAGCTTATTAGACACTGGATATAATGGACCTAATTAACTTCATCTAAGTTTTATCCTATATCTTAATATCCATTTTCAGTTTTTTTTTTCCATAGGATAAAGGTTTTCATTATTACTTAAAAGAACAAGGTCTTTTTAAATCATATCATTCATAAGTTATACTACAGCGGATTCTAATATAAAAGCTTAATAACTAACTTTAAAAAATTAAGAAAATTAGCTAAATTAGTTATTTATAATAAATGTATGTTGACTTTCCTAAACCGTCCTCTTTAATTATATGTATGGCCACATCTTGATGAAAATCTCTCACAATCACCATGGATATTTTGGAAAAAATTGTGAGACAAAGGTAATTAAAATCTTATATTTAAGACTAAACCAAATTTCCAACTAGCTTTTATATTAAGGAGTGAAGGTAGTATATAAATGGTTTGTTTCAGAGGCTATGTAACCATCTGAATTCACATTAGGGAATATTTATATATCTGATCCTCTATTAATCCATCCAAACCGATGGATAATGAGAAAATTAATCAATCTGTCAAACTATTCCATTATTGTATATTTAATTCATTAAGTTATAAATTCAAATGATCTTTTTTTTTTTCCCAGAAAAAGAGAGAGATGGAGGTACATGATTATTTAGTTATTTTATGCAGAATTAAAAGAAATAAAGATGAAATATCAGCAAAAGCAAGTTTTATTTCTAAGTACATAGATCACACATATGCAGTCCATCTTATTATTTATCATCTAACACCCACGTACATAGACCCAAGCCAAGCCAAGCCTAGCCTAGCCTCTATATATTGTCCTCTACTTTAACAGCAAATTCATTTATGTATTTACCTTGACAAATTTCTTTTTATTAAGTTGTTCTTGAGACTAATTTCTTATATCAAGTTGGATCTTCATAGCCCTGCTGGGCGTATGTAAGTGTGCACGTGCGACATGCAGCTTTCCTTTCTCCATCTTCATCTTATCCACTCTTCTCCTTTCTTCTTCTGCAATCGAAGCGAGCAATACAAATAAACCAGTGTTAATAAAGGACACAAACAAGAACTTCTTTGTAAGTCACACCATCAGTATATCTTGAATCCTGCGACTATACATAGACATATAGACACACACACTGGATAATAAAAGGCACACAATGACACATATATATAATGGACTTGCCTTGTCATTGTCAGTGCCACTATGGTTTTCTTCCTCCTCCTTCATATTCTTAATCTTCTTCTTCTTCTTGCCGTTTCCATATTTAGTATCACTCTCAGTACTACTGCTCAACAATTTTGATTTTACTTTTGTCGTTTCGGCTCTTTCTTTTGCTTCCCCTTTTCTTTCTTCTTTTTCCTTTATGCTTCCTTTTTCCTTACTTCTTCCTCCTTTTCCCATGCTTCAATCTATTTGGGCGTATCTTCGCGTTGCTGTCACAACAATTCTCCCAAGAATACTCCCGCCAGTGCTTTGGCTCCGTCTTTTGCACCATGAACTTGAAAGTGGCAAAATCGACGGTAGTAAGAAAGCCGTTTGATCGATGATCACTCGATAATTTCTTTGAATGCCCTCTTCTGATCTTTTGGTTTGTTGTGCATCCATGAAGCTCTTATTGTTGCATATATAGAGCCCTCGTGAATAATCCATGGAGGGAAGGGGGGGATATTCTTAAATTTAAAAATAGATAAATAAATGCGCATTGCTCTCTATGGTGATAATCTTTTGTTCTCTTTTGTTTTGTTTTGGTTTTTTTTTTTTGGTAACTAGTACAATCGCACGGGTAATTATTGGGAAATGCACATGTTAGAAAATTTTTAGTTAAATAAATATCACTTACGCACAAAGAAATATGCAAAAAATAACAACATTTTACATCACTATTCCTGAAATCAGGTATCAAAGAGACATGTTGTTGAAAACCTCCTTAAAAACTACATTGGAGGTTTTGTTGCTGGCATTTCCTTGATCTTCAAGGATTAGTGTTTTGAGGCCCTGCTTATTCTGAACCCTAGAGACAGTAACATACAATTGCCCATGCATGAAAATAGGACGAGATAGATATAATCCAACATTGGTTAGAGTTTGATGACCTTGACTTTTATTTATTGTTATGGCAAAAGATAGCATAATTGGAAACTGTCTTCTACACAAAGCAAATGGCAATGAAGTTTCTAAGGGTGTAATGATAAACTTCATGGCCTATACTAGTCCTTGTAATGATTTCTTCTTAATCACATACTTCTCTAATCTTGTGACCACCAAATGGGTTCTGTTACACAATTCTATTTATTTATCCAAATTTCTCAACATCATTATAGGAGCTTCACTCCGTAGAACCAATTTGTGATTAGGCAAACTAGACATGGTGATTTTGTTTAGAAATTCAACTGAGTGCATTTGTGCAATAGATGCACTAACATGATCTTGCTTAGAAATACTATATGCACTAAGATATATAACTCCGTCCCTTGGTAACATGGAGAGCATATAATTATTAACATAATCAATTATTGATAAGTTAGAGGTT